AACGATCGAACAGTTTAAATGGTTCATTGTGAGATGTACGAAATTTTGAAGCGGCATTGTTCCATACATTTGAAGAACGTTCATTTGATGATGAATCATGTTTTTCACGACCATTCAAAGAAGGCTGAAAGAAAAGAAAGTTTAAAGGAAGAGCAGAAGCAAAGATACATACGAAATCTTGTTCAAGACGGTCAAAACCTGATGTGTCTGTTGTTTGTTCATGATCATTAGTTCCGAAGATCTTCTCTCGATCACCATTGACAGAATTATGCCGAATATTCGACAATGGACGATCGTTTGAATACGATGATATGGAATGTAAACGACGTTGAGAAGTATTTATTGAACGATATCCATTGTGATTATCATGACCGTTTGATGATGATTCTATATGCTATTATGAGAACAAAAATGGTATGAAGAAATCTGTTATTGGAAAGCATTCAGTTTCATACTTTTGCAAACGAATTGGGTGCGCGTTCTCGACTGTATGACCTTCGTGACGATGAAAATGTAAAGAAACTCTCTGAATGTCCACCAAAACCGTTCCGAGTTTGACCTACAGACACGAGAGTATTCAAAGAATATGTTCATCTGAAGACAACATCGGTAATCTTACCGAAGGTTTGCTGAGAATGAAATGGTGATTGTCGAGTTATCGTCGGATCGATTATATCTGACGAATGATGTCGTTGTCGACCTGTACTTGTTGGCGGGGATGACGATGTTGAACTTGTTTCACTTCGATTTGACGTTTGTGATTGGTAATTATTGCGATCAAGAGTTATTTTTGTACTACCATTTGTTTTCTATTCGTTGGTGAGAAAATCAACTTTAGTGAATGAATTCAATCGAATATACTCACATCTGAACTCTGAATTTTCATCCATGCTGGCACAAAGCCACTTTTGGCCATCACATCGCGCCGAATACAGGTATTACTAAAATGATGAACAAATCGGAACTTGAAGTTCGTTCGATCGAACATTACCTGTTATGGTCTGATACCAGTTTATATGGAAATCATTCAAAAGATTTGCTTCGTTGATATATTTTCTCGTTCTATTTTCGTGAAAAAGAAATCTAGTTTAAGAAATTAAGAAAATCATTCCGAATGAGTCATCTGAAAAAACACACAGAACGACAATGTTGAACATTTCAAAAACAAATCACTTTTGGTATTTATCTAAGTAAATTTTTGTCCTTTTTTTTCTCTGCATTATTTATGAATGAGGAACTCACAAATGATCCAGTCAACAAGAGATTTACATTCAAACGCGAGTCAAACAAGAAAATCGAGATTGACAATAATTTTTGCAGGAAAATAATATGGATTCTTGTTTTGTTTTTTTATTTATTTTTCGATACGTTAACCACTAGCGACATCGTTCGATAGAGAGGCAAACTGCTTGGTAATGTCTTGTTGAAATGGAGACTTTTTTTTCTACCCTAGAAAACTAGGACATCTAGGAGATTAGTAATGTATGCGACGAACTGAAAAACTGTTTAAACAAGCGCTTTGTTGATTAGAAAATGCCGGCAAAGATAAGCATGACTGGTGCCTTTAGACAGATTTCTTTTCTTAAATGTCCTTATTATCATAAATTTGTTGTTTTTTGCTTTTTCGATTAATCACAACTTCAATGTAAGTTGAAGTATTTAATATATATTCATGAATATAAACAAAACAAAACGTTGTTGACACATTGAATCAAATCACAATGTGCGTTAAGAACAAATGGCAATGCTGTTGATGCATCGTTTTTCTTCCTCGTCTTTGTCACCGGCAATGTGTCGATGACGTTTTTTCCTTTTCTCTTCTTTCTCTCTCTCACTCTCGCATGCTCGCTTTGTCGCCTTATGTTTGACGGTGTACTTGATTGCTTAGCGACGCCTCCTCTACGACGATATCTGAACAAATCGTTCGTCGAGAGGAATGGATACTCTCGTTCTCTCATTGGCATTGAATATGAAGTAACGACCGAAGAAAATGGTGGAGAAACAAAAAAAAAATATATATATGTAACACTCGATGATCATGAAGAGAAAAAAAACATTGATAATGTGCAATATTCTTCATTTTCTTCTTTTAGATCTGATTTGAGACAAACCATTTCATGTGTTAATCGATTCATCTGATGAGTTCCCATCAACAACAACTACTTGCTTGTTTGCAAACAGGTCAGACTGTGGATATTCAACGATCCAATGGTCGCATACATCAAGCTGTTATCACTCAAATAAATCAAGAAAACAAAAGTGTCACTGTTGAATGGCAAGAGAAAAACGAAGGCAAAGGCAAAGAAGTCGATTTAGATGCAATTTTTCAATTGAATCCAAATCTCTTTACGGCTGTGACGAACACATCCAATGGTGCTACTGATCACGATGCAAATAATAATAATAATAATAATGGTGATTATTACACCAACGGTGGTACTGTGTCACATTCAAATCGTCGGACGAAACAGCAAGGTAGTGAAGTCGAAACTGGGCGTAAGCCATCTCAAGTACCTGTCGTTGCTCGACCAGCCATTGGACCGACAGCGGCCGCTCAAGTGAATAATGAAGTGTCTCCTCAGAAACAAGCACCGATTGCGTCGGTACAACCAACATCTACAACGGATTCGAATAAGTCGAAAGTCGTTAAAGAAATTGAACGTATAGCTGCCAATCGTGAGCAACGTCGTGCCAGACAAGATGAACGTCGACAGAAACTATCCGAAGTTGATCAATCAATACCTGCCTGGGAATTTCAAGCCATGGTGAGCGAATATCGACAGCAACTGGATGTAAGCGTATTGACAATGAACGAGCCACAAAAAGATTTAAAAATCTGCGTTTGTGTACGCAAACGACCGATAACCAAAAAAGAATTAAGTAAAAAAGACATCGACGTATTGACAATTCCCAATAAAGAAGTCGTTATTGTTCACTTGCCCAAAGTCAAAGTCGATCTAACGAAATACATTGACAATCAAAAGTTTCGTTTCGACTATGGTTTTCATGAATCGTGTAATAACGAACTTGTTTATCATTTCACAGCTCAACCATTAGTACAATCTTTATTCCAAGGAAACAATCCAATGGTATTTGCCTATGGACAAACGGGTTCTGGTAAGTGAATGATCTTAGTACGAGTATGTTAGACAGGAAGTCATTTCAAGGGAGAGGATGTGTACTTGCCTTTTGTCAATAATGAATCGACACTTTTCTTTTTCTTTGTCTTGTATCAATAGACGTCTGTTCTAATGAGAAAATTCTTTGTCTAGGTAAAACATATACCATGGGTGGTGATTTAAGTCAACGTGATGTGGATTTTTCCAAAGGAATCTATGCATTAACAGCCAATGATATCTTTCGTCATTTGAATAAATCTCAATACAAAGGTCAATTTGACGTTTACTGTACATTTTTCGAAATCTATTGTACCAAAGTATTCGATTTATTTAATGAGAAGAAACGTTTACGTGTACTGGAAGATCACAAGAATCTAGTTCAAGTTGTAGGTAAAAAGGAAGAACAAGTGGAATCGGTTGAAGACGTAATGGCTTTAATTCGACGCGGTATGAGCGTGCGAACATCCGGTACAACATCGGCGAACGAAAACTCTTCTCGATCTCATGCTGTATTTCAAATCACATTGAAGAAAAAGAATGTAACAAAAGAATATGGTAAAATTTCCTTAATTGATCTAGCTGGTAGTGAACGTGGACGTGATACTCAAACCAATGATAAAACTACGCTTATGGAAGGTGCACAGATCAACAAATCCTTGTTAACATTGAAAGAATGTATTCGTTCATTGGGGCGTAATGCCGAGCATATTCCATTCCGTGGTTCAACTTTAACTAAAGTTCTACGTGATTCATTCATTGGTGAACGTTCGAAAGTGTGTATGATCGCCATGGTTTCTCCTGGAAATAGTGATGCTGAGCATACGCTGAATACATTACGTTATGCAGATCGTGTTAAAGAATTAAACGTTGATGAAATAAAACAACGTGGTGGAAGTAATCATGCCGGACAAGTTGGTGGCGGACACGATGATATAGGCTTAGGTCAAGGTTTAGATGAAGAAGATGAAATGGATGATGACGATGACGGCGATGATTTAGTTGGAGTGAACAATCAAAATCAAGTTATACCAACATCACGTTATGGTGGACAACAATCGAATATTCCTAAAGCTCAACCACAACAAGCACAGGCAATAAATAACAAGCGACCGGCTGGACATAACAAAAAATCGGAAGCAACACGTAAATTCGAAGAAGCCATTGCACGTTCACAAGAAATCGAAGATTTAACGCTCGAATCTCACAATGAATTAATTGATGATTTACCTCAAATTGTCGCCAATCATCAGAGTTTACTTGATTTATCGACGAACATGAACTATGATCGCGATGAATATGCTAAACAATTAATTCATATGATTGATACTCAACAACAGCATTTAACTGAACTACGTAACAAAGCATTACAAATGCGAGAAGCTGTTGCTTATGAAGATTTATGTGCTAAAGGTTTATCATCAAAATGATGAACAAAAATCTTCGTAGATACTGACTAAGTTTCTTTTTTATGCTGCCGGTTTCTCCTTTTTCTCCTTCGGTGATACCTTTTCGCCCGCCGCTGTCTATCTCTGTGTGTGTGTGTGTGTGTGTGTTAGTCTGATAAGTTGATTGCTGGTGTACAGGACAATAAAATTCGTATTCCACTATTTCATTTGTGTCGCACATATTGACATTTTCTTGTTCTTCTTTTTCTTTTGTTCTTATTCTTTGTCACATGCGTGTGTTACTGTTGTTCTTTAAGATTATCAAAGCATGGATATATAATACGACTACTACATTTGTGAAAGAATTCAGAAGATAAGTGGGATAACGGGTTAGACGGAATTCTTTTTAAATATGTGGAATACTTTTTTTTTCACTATTAATTTTAAAATAAAAAAACTGTTCTTGAAGACAAGCAACTTCTTATGTCTATCGCAGTTATTCGGACATATTGGAAAAGACATTGGTGTACGATGGTGGTGGTTGTCGAGAAGGTGACAGTTGAATAAAGCTGACAGGTTCATTGAAGCCTTCGCTTTGGGAGATGTGAGAAATCGTAATAACATTAATCGCTTATTGTTCAAAGAAGAAAATTAACATGCTGACAATGGCGAATTCTTCAACTTACGTGTTACTTTAGGCGATAATGTGTATTTGTAACGATTGTAACAGTAGAATAAAATACCACATCCAATAAAAACACAGATCGCACAAGCAAAACTACAAATGAGAAGACAACGGTTAGTTTTTTTTATCAATGGTAGCATTTGAGATTACATCGATAACCAATTATAATTGAAAAGTTGGAGAAGTTTCGATACTGTTAGCGTGTAGGGCTCAGTTGAATTGCACCTAGAAGAAAAATTTAATTACCATGAAGTTCGAACAAGTAATAAGTAATCGAACAGGTTGATATCCGACCAATATAATCCATCGATATTATACTCTAAACATGCGTTTACATTTCCCTACAAAACAAAGATTTATTCCACTATTATTTAAGAACTGTTTAGACTGCTTACAGCTGAATTCTTGGAGAAAAGAGTGAATGATACGAAGAATAGAGGTAAAAAATACACCGATTTCACACACATTCTTGATATTATATTTTCTAAATGATCAGATGAGAGGGGAAACTAACTATATATGACTAGAAATGATGGATGCGTGTTACGAACAATTAGAATAGATAGATTCAATGTAAATCTTGAATTTGGATACGGTGGAAATGTTCGTGAGAAAGCGAAATTAGTCAATAATCTCGAGGATGCGGGTGGCGGATTATCTTCGGCGTTCGTCGAAATCCATAAATAGTATACTTAGATCAAAGATGGAGCTCGGACTAGCAGGAATTGATGATAGTGCTTGAGAAATCTCTGCAGGAAACAAATCAATGTGAAATTTTGCCGTTTAATCTCATGCTAAAGCGGAATTTTCTCGCAATCAAGTCTAGTTCACTCTATATAAATGCGAACCTCGAACAGAATTATGTCGATAGTCAATGGAATAGTCATGCTTTCAAAATAATTATAGATCATTGCTCATTTTAATACTAGTCGACGAAAAATATTATATATATTATGATCAGTTTGAAATGGAATACTGTAAAGTGATTCATCAATGTTCTTAACGAAAAAATATACTCAAGATACATATCAGGATACAGTGTAACATCAGTTATCTAAGATCAAATACTCCGTTGAATCTCTTTTTAGTTGACGACGAACAGTACTATGACGTTGTGATATGGATCATGTTCACCTATCCATCGAAGTCGCAGAATAAGGTGGTTCGAAACAAAACATATAAAATAAAAGTAAAATCGTCTGTTTTTTTTTTTATTAAACTAATATTGAGGATTACACCTAATTACATGACGAAAGAACTGATGTTCAACTGAGTAAAACATCTTGCTGTGAACGTTTCTTTAGATAATTCTTTGCTTTTTCTACATAGATTTCTAAATATTCAAAGTTTAATTTTAATGGCTTTTTTTGCACGATAGCACGTTGTACGTCGCCATTTTTCACTACTTCTCGCCATGTTTCCAGATTCAATTGTAAATCAAACTGCCATGGAGATGAACTCGATGATTTTGCTGCTGTTAATTTCGAATTATCATCAAGGGAATCCATTTGAAGCACTTTGGATAGAACATCAAACTAGAAAATACAATAAGTATATTCATTGATGACAAGCACGTCGTCTGATTTTGACAGCACTTCATTTGCTGCTTGTCAACGCAAGACGTATTACTCTTGATTTAACTTTGCAACTCGTACTTACAGTCGGATAGACAATATGTGAGATAAATCCAATCTGTAAATGAGCAATGTCAGTCGTTTCACGATCGAATGTTGATTTGTTATCATCACAATGGATTTTTTCTAGATCACCTTGCATAAAAAACTCTTCCATGACCTTTTCTGCCGATTGAACGTAAATAGGCCAAGGTTTTGCTGCATTTGATATATCAGCTGCATGCAATAAAGTTTGTAATAAAGTTTTCGAATCGGTTGCCGTTGTCGTCGCATTTGTTTCTTTAAAGAAGAAGTATGTAGACATACGTTCAACAAGTGATGCATGATTAGCCATATCAGTCGCCAGAACAAGTGAGATGACCAGAGAACGAAACGTTCGGTATTCATCGACGTTCATATTTGACCAAATGTTAAAACGTTTTTCACGTAACAATTTGAATACTGCGCTGGAATGATGGTTTTCTAAAATCGACAAGAAAGCAAGAGTTATTCTACGGTTAAAAAGAATTGTCTGTCGTTGGAGGCAAACATCCTTGAACTCATAATGTCAAGAACGAACAAATCTTTGGACAAATACAAGGCTAATTCTGACAGGTTTATTGTTTCTGCATTTGAACTCGATCTATGTTGAACTTCAACTATGAAAACTGATTAGGACATCGTTATATGATGACTTCTAGATAATCCTTGTGTAATATGTTTTTCTCAAAGTAAAAGATACGTTGACATGAGAGAACCTAGCAAGCTATCGTCCACTCTGTCTGCTGTTTTTCACGTTCCTAATTCAATTATGGTTTACCTAAAACACTAGAATCATTATAAATCAACGCGAGATCACTTCTTGTTCGAATTAAATAACTATTATTCAAACCCGGATGTTCGTAATCATGAATTGCTGCAGCAAATAACTAATCAGAGAAGAGAAAGAAAGTGGTTGAATACAAATCAAAAGGCAGACTTCTCTCACCAATGCGGTTATCTCTGTATGTGCAAAAACATGCAATAGACTGCTTTTGATCAATAAACAATGTGCCGTTTGAAGAACATCAGCTCCATGATAATCGTTATGATACGGTGGACGAAATTCTAAATAGAAGTAGAATAGCAACTCGAGTATTATAGTTCTTCTCGCATACTTGTATAGCCGTCTGTCAATGCTCGTGCGAAGTTTTTCAAAATATCAATATCGATTCGATAACGCGAGATGATATCATGCGCATCAAATATTAACAAAACCGTGTAGAGCATTGGTTCGGGATATTCAAGAATATTAAATGACCAGAGATTTAATTTATTTATATCAACAGGTAAATCCAACATGACATCGAGACGTTCTTTCGTATGCTGTCGGATTTGTCTTTGTAAGGCATTGACAAATGATGATGCTTGAATAATCGCTTTAATCGATTCAAAACGGCCGCTTGTGGTTACTGTTCGTTGTTGTTTCGACGAGAAGGTTTGCTCTAACCATTTGCTAATTTCTCCATTATCATTTGATGTTATATTGATTTCACTTTGACGAGTATCGTCCGAAAGTATCTCGACGAGATTATAAAAGATTCCTTGAAAGATTAACAGGAATATAACGTCAAATACAGAGCTTCTCTTTACCGTCAAGTTCTTTGCCGACGTTAGCCAAGGTTTCGACGTGTTCGAGCATGCCTAAGTGAAAAGTCAGCAGTTTTTATTATTCTGGTTACTGAATTCAACGTACCATCGTTGGTTAGACTTAATTTGACACGTTGCACTTGCTCTTTTGCCATACGCAACCGGCCGAGAATGTTGACAGTTGTCATCGATGAATTTTCGGGTTTTTCTCGATTGAAATTATTTGTTCGATTCATTTTAATGCGAGTTTTGTTCCGTCCGATCTTTCCTGTGTAAAGAAGAGAAAAAGAAAAGCAAAAATCGTTAATAAAAGAAGAAGAAATAGACAGGATATATGAATTTATTATTAAATCTAAAAGACTTTAGGCATTTCTAACTTGTCATTCGATAAGAAACGACGTCAAAATTCTGTTTCCTCTGATAACAATGTATGTGACAAAAGAGAAACAAGAAACGATTAGTTTTTATGATCATCGCATTTTTCCCTATCAATTTCGTCTCAAGTATTAGTGTTATTCAATTGAATTGATCCCATTAGTTTTTTGTTTTTTGTTATCCTTCATATATTAGATTTCCGTTTTTAGTCATTGATACTCTTTCTAATCTCTTTTTTCTTTCTTCTATTTGTTTCAAGGAAATGAAGCTATCGAGAAAAAAACGACAACAAATATGAGAAAACAATATAATATCGACGTGTCAAGATAAATTTCCAATAACATTCATTGTAGTGACTGACAAAAATCAATCGTATATTCTTTCGTTTGATTGTGAATAACATCGAAACAAAAATCAATTTCTTTTCTTCATCTTCGCGTCAGAGATATTTTTGACTTGATCTCCTTAGATGTAAGTAAGACGAGATTTACGTGATCATATAATATTGACGTATCGAGCCAACAGTTCTTGAAAAGAAAACAAGTCTTATGGGTGGTGTAAGCTTTCCAACGATTAGATTCATCCGATGTTATGTTATCGTATATGCAAGAGTCCATCTTGGATCGGATTACCATCGATTGATTGATATCGCACTTGAAACGGGAAGTAAACAAGAATTCTAATAGAGATAATCGTTTTCCTGTTCTTTTTTTTGTGCTCAGAATAGAATCTCTCAAGAGATTCAGATTAATACGGATCATTTCGATGTTTGCTGAATCGACACGCAAAATTGTGAATCATTTGGTTAAGTTATCTAATGTACTTGAACTCGGAACAAAGTAAATCGAATCAATCGATTAGACTTGGATCTGTTCTTCTTCAAAAGTAGATCAAAGTTGAAAGAATATGATTTTCCTCTTCACTGAATATGCCAATGTAAACAGCAGATTGTTTGCTAATAGAATTATTCGAATTCAATTATCATCTTTAGCTAAAACACATTGCTCTAATGCGTTTAGCTACGTTCGATAGATGTCAGTGGTAGAAGAGACAATTTTATGGAATCATGCTGGCTATCCTCTTGGCGAATCAACATCAAATCATTGTCCGTTTGAGTGAGTGTTCAAAGAAAGGAGAAACATAAGCTGTTCATTGACGTACTTCCGATTGTTGATCAAGCCAAGATCTATATGTAATCATTGCGGATATCTCCATTGTCATTATTTCGAAATATTTTTCAAAAGCGTCGTCTAAAGAGCAGAGAAAAATGTTTCTGAAACATCTGAGTTATTGACATCTTTGTGACAACTGTTTGTCCTTGATGTTAGTCTATGTCGTTGGCATCCACGTAGGTGCAGAAAGACATGGTATGGTCGAATGCTATATAACCCAATTGCATTAAAGATGGTAACAACGACATGGGCAGGAAAAAAGAAAGAAAGATGTGTATGCTATTATTGATGCTGTTGTTTCGACTGAGTTATTTGTTGTTGTTTATTCGATTCCCATCGGCTGCTTATCAGAAATGTCGTCGAAGCAATACTTTACATAATGAAGATATCAGAGCGAATTTCTTTTCTTGTTCTCTTGTATCGAGATTTCTATGCTTATTCGTCGTCACTATTTAGCAGTCGATTCAGAAAACAAGAAAAGAGAAGAAGTCATTACCACCTTTCTTCTTTCTGTTTTCCTCTCTCTCTCTCTATCTCTCTCGTTACATCTCTATGTTGATCTCTGTAGGGTGTCATCTTCTATTCTTCTCCTCTGTTTCTTGTTTATCTGACAGTACCATCATGTCTATTTTCATTGCCTTGATAATCAAACGACATTCAGGCCACAAAAGGCACGATTGAGCGACGTAAAATGCTGTCATTTCCAGTTTGTTTTAGATATGTAATGGCGACTAGTGAAGCAAGTCTAAAATCTCTTCCGATGACGCCAACATCGGCACCATCATCTCCTCAACCAACAACTTCACCACTACCATTAGCATTACCACCGCCCAGTACAGCATCATTAACACCAACCACTTCATCACCATCAACTCCATCGCCGTTCTACGACGACAAGCCCATCGAAAAATGTTACAAAAAGGAAAAACAAATTCTCTTCGAATTCGATCAAACCGTTAAAGGTAAGGACAAAGATTACAAGTGATTTCTTTCTATTATCATCATCGATTCTGATGATCGAATATGTTAGAAAAAATTTGTCCTTTTCCCTTGACATATTAGTAGTACTAAGAATGCAAATATGTAGGAGGAAAGATATCAAGTTCGAAAAACCGGCTAAACATCAATAGATATACACATATCTTTTTCCGTCTTTCATCAAATATCTACGTTCGTCTAAAAGATTATATATCAACAAACGTACGTGAGATGTAATGCTTTACTCTTGTCGTTTATTGACATGAGTAGACGTTGTTGATGATGATGATGAATCGAAGTCAAGAAGTCAAGATTAAAAAACAGAAATATGAGATTGATTTATGTTGAGAAAATGACACAACGAGAAAAATAAACGTTAAAGATTATTATTGAAAGAAGTCAATAACATGACAAGCCTCAAGCCAATCTCGAAAGATTCGATTAGAACATTATCTAATCACGCATTAATACCGGAACGGATCTTATCTAAAAGAAATTAGAAGAAAGATTCTCTTTCTTTCATTCATTTCAAACGCATCGACAGAATAAGAAAGCGATATATAATTAAAAAGCATTTCCTTTACATTAGAAAATGAAATCGATGAATAATCTCCGATATCAAAAGACGATCCCGCCTCTCGTGAAATACTTGAATCGTATATAGAAAAGAGAAATGAATGAAGGGCGTGTTTACCATCATCCCATGATATTGGACATGTTTGCTTGAATACAATTTTGTTCAAACAAACGTATGCTTGTCATTATACTCATCAGTCGTAGACTTATCGACTAGGGGAGAAATGGTAAACTATACCTGTGGCGTCACATCAAGCAAGAGTAGTTCTGATCACAAGATGAATGTACAGTATAGTTTAGTGAAGAAGAATTACGAACGATTCAGGATTCGTAGGATAGAAGTTTTCTTGTAACATTTAAGTTCATTTTGTCTTTTTTCTTTCGTAGAAATTCGTTTGCAATTGAATGATCAATTGAAATATTTGGAGCAACGTATTGAAACTCAACTTGCCATTCTCGCCGAGATTCAAGAGTATTTCCGTCGACGAGCGGACGTTGAACTCGATTATGCTAAGAATCTTGATAATTTACATAAACAAATCGGCCAGCGTCATCGGGCTCAAAAAGCTAGGTAAGATTCTTTTGTACGGCGGAAAAAGTCAAACTCGATGATGTTCTCAGACGCGAGACGTGGTCATCTCAATCCATAACGAAGCTATGGGACACAGTCGTTCAAGACACTCGAATGCATGTCAAATATCATACGATCATGTCGGATGTTTGTGGAAAATACATGTTCGACAAATTTAATGAAATCGTCGAAGACACTCGGCGAATGTTTACGAAAGTAATAGAAAAAACAACATGGAATTCTTATGTGATAACCTTTGATTGTAGTGTAAAGCTGTTGGCTTAGCCAGTCATGAAGATATTTATAAGGTTCTAAATGAATTAAAGAGTGTAAGTAATGTTTTTTTGCTTATCTCGCGATTTGCGATTGTTTATTTAGACAATGGCAACTTACCATCAGTATCAAAGTGAGAGTAAACAAGCTGAACAGAAACTACGAAATATTCAGCAGCAAATGGCGAAAATCAAGAGTGTGAAGAAACAAAAAGCGATGAGTAAACGAGTGGAAAAGGTAATCAGCCAATCCTAATTAATCCCAAGAGAACCTTCTGAGTGATCGAAGGCTAACATGTGTAGCAATGTAGAAAATGTCAAACACATGTTGACGATTAGAAGAACATTGTCTCATTCAACGAAGAAGTTTGTTTATTTAGCGACAAATGAAATATACGGAAACAAAAGTAAAAGCATTCAAAGCACGTAATGATTATCTAATGGTAATCGAGTCGGTTAACGCTGCTTTACAAAAATATTGCTCGGATGATGTACCCGATCTAATTGATTGTATGAATTTTGGTTTTCATACATCGATTGCTAAATCGATTCAGATGTATTTATCCGCACAAGAAAATATCAAGCGCGGCCGGCAAATGTAGGATCATCGAATTGACTTTTTCTCTTGTTGATTGTTCTCTGAGAATTTCAGGACAATTGAAACGTTGAATCGAGCTTTCGGAGATCTGGACACGGTGGTTGATAAGCAAAAGTATTTGGAAGCGAATGCATCTGTATTTACGATAACCAAGCGAATTAAATTTGAACCACATAAAGGCGATGAAGTGTCGACGGTCAATGCACAAGTTTTGATTCGCGATGAAATGCAATCACGATTTGTTCAAATGCAAAATCGCCTTGCGGGATTAAAAACCGAACATGACGAGGTTTGTTGAAAGTTTTCTGCTCGAATAACTTGAACAAGGAGAAAACTAATGTCGAAAGATAAGCAGTCTATCTTTGAGAAATTTGCTGCAGGCAAGGACAGAGACAAGAATACGAGTTGAAGGTTTATAATTAATCAAACAACGCATGATTGACTCGAGATGTTTCTTTATTAATCATAGATATTTAAAACAATCGAAGCAACTGAGCAATCGTTAATGGAATACATCAATACGAAAAATTCCGATGTGTCTGATCTATTCAAAGATCTAAACCTTCCTCAAAATACTTCAAAAAGTACACGCAAAGAAATTGAAGATTACTATGTTGAAGTATGTATACAATCGTACATGTGTGCTCGCGAAAAGAAACAATCTTTTCACTTTCTATAGAAATTCAAAGAATATACTTTATCGAGTAATCTTATTGCTCGATTACAAGCGCGTCATGATATTATGCAAAAAGCACTAGGTGCGGCTGCAACAGCTGGCAGTACTGAAGATAAAAAGTATGCAGGTGAACATTGAGAACAATACGAATCATTTCTTGTTTAGTCTTATACGCCGTCCAATCAAACCGAGGCAAATCGGTCGCGCACCTATTCTTGGTCGACCACGTTTATTCGGTGGTAAATTATTGGATTACATTCAAGTTACTGAACAAGCTATTCCATTGATTATCTCATCATGTGTGAGTGCGATTAATCGACTCGGTCTACACAATCAAGTGAGTTGTTGTTGTTGTTGTTTTTCTTGAAGAGAAAGAATGGTTGATTATCATTTAGGGTATTTTCCGTGTACCCGGTGCACAAGTTGATATCAATCAATTCAAGGATGCTTTTGAAAAAGGTGAAGATCCGTTGGTTAATATAACTGGTCGCGATATGAACTCGGTGGCTGGCGTTTTGAAATTATATTTTCGCGAATTGAAAGAACCGTTATTTGCTCGAGATATGTTCGATTCTTTCATATCGTGTATTGGTATGTTGATACTTTCGTGTTTTCATGCGAAACAATACGCGACACATGTTTTTAGTTGATGTTGAATCCGAAGATAAATGTGTAGAAAATCTCTGTCAAGTTGTGAAACTTTTACCTCGTCCGATCTTTATAGTCATGCGTTATTTTTTTGCCTTTCTGAATCAGTAAGTTGAATGAAACAAAAAAGAAAGTTCATCGAAAGATTCTTGTTTTTGCATTTTAGTTTAACGGAATATTCGGACGAGAACATGATGGATGCTTCGAATCTAGCTAGTTGTTTAGCGCCATCGTTGATGCCGATTCCTGAAGATAAAGATCAAGTACAATATGTAACTCATACAATTGAACTGATACGAACAATAATCACGCGTCATGATGAAATCTTTCCAGCAAATGATGATGGACCAGTTTACGAGAAATTTGCGATTACAATTCCGATGTACGAGACGACAATTTCGTTGTTTGATTTGTAACACTATCGCTTTGATTCTAGTGAGGGCGAAGAAGATGAAGATGATGAAGGTATCAGCGAACGATCAATGCGACATTCCCCAAGTGATGATGGTAAGGAATGTTTCTCTTGTCAACTTTCGTTTCATTTGAAACAGCCTTGTCGTTAACACTCTTCTCAAAATTTTTCTAGCTTCACAAGACTCTGATTACTGTACCGAAGATTTTAATTTATTAAATGAGACTGATGTTTGGTAAAGATCTAATATTGAGAATAGGCGATCATCATCTAGTGCGAGCATGTTTAGCATGGCTTTTTTTGTACTTCTTTTGATTTGTACATGTCCGCTTCATTGATATGCACATATTCACACAACTGTCATCTCCTCGATGTGTTCGATTTTCTTTTTCAGAAATGGAGATGGTCGAGGCAATGGCATTGTTTGATTATAATGGTCGAACAAACAAAGAAATTTCATTTAAGAAAAATCAAATTCTTTACTTGTACAAGAAATTTAATCATGAGTGGTGGTTAGGACATACAGCTGGTAGTAAACAGTCAGGATTTATTCCTGACGGTTATATCAAGCTTAAAACTAGGTAAAGAAGGACAATTTTAAAAAGAATCTTTGCATTCATTTTCTGATTTCTAGACGTCGCGAATCAGCTCCTGTACCGCGCCCGCCTCTATTTAGTCGAAAACCCGATCCATCTCTTTCATCCCATTCTGTTGATTTAACAACATTACTCGACGAACAATTGGATAATTCCAAGGGAGGATCCTGTCAATCATCAGATTTCTCACTTGTCGATGAACAATGCCTTCAATCAGCAAAGGAAACTGAAATCGTTGAAGTGAACTCTGACGTTGACAACGAAGAGAATACCTTATCAAGTACAACACTTTCTACTCATCCTGTACCTGCTTATCGTACAATCTATGATATTCTACCACCACGCTCGCCACCATTACTATCAACAACTGACCATTTTGAATCAACATCTTCATCCTTATCATCGTCATCATCGTCTCAATTAACATCAATCAATGATCAGCAAGTGATTGACATTGACAGCGCACTACGTGAAGTTTTGTCTGGTATACGCACTGTCGAAGAATGTCATGCTCAATGTTTTCGAACTATATCATCAACTAATACTCAACCAGAAACAGATGCACCCGATCTCGTACTTAATCTACCGACTTCAAGTGGATTGGTTACGCCACCAGCATCGAAATCACTTGATGAACATTCTTCACCTAAATCTTCATCACCAAGCAATCAGAATCATACATCGTTCGTTCATTCAACCATTATCCTTGACGTCTCATCAGAATTCATACCAGATAAGAAAGTTCCACCACCGATTATGAAAAAACCTGAAAAAACATTGCATCTAATGAAGCGTCTCGGTTTACAACAGACACCGGACTTGTCACCAGCTCGTTTCAATGGTCTCCATCATCAGCCACTTTCTGTTTCAGGTTCATCTAAAGTAACAGAAGTTTAGGAGAAAAAAAAATCTGAGAATCATTCATGGTGCTGTCTAGTCGCGCTTGTTCTCTTTCTTGTAAATTGTTTTCTCTCTTTTTTTTAGCGTGTACAAAATTCTCTCTGAGTGACACTTTAATCTTAGAAAATCAGATTCAATAATATAATTTCTTGTTTTCTCCCTTCGTGTCAATAAAAGCTTATCTCTCTTTCTTTTATACCGCACTTGGTTTTCGTTTTTGCTATCTATGGTTTCTTTTTTGTAGAAAAGGATTTCCTGTTAAATGAATAAAGATTTTCTTGTACGTCATCTTCTCGAACAAACGTTTATTCGTATACCCTTGAATAATCCAACCTTACATAAATATATGTGTAAATCATAAGTGCAAATTCAACGACGACGACATAAGTCGATACATCCTTCAATCCTTTCAACGACATTTGTTTACTTCATCATCCGACATTACCTTTTATCAGTTGTTTAAACAGGAAGAAAAACTGATTATGTCGATCGGTAGTTTTTGCTCCGTTGACATTGACTTTTTGTTCTTCAGATCTATGTAGACTAAAACTTGCTGTTTTCAAGGCTTTTTCAAGGTAAAACAATTTCTCTAGTATGCAGTAATTGATTTGACCATTCGAATAAGACCTATACGTGATTCATTCTTTTGCCGACAAAGATTTGGGTTCATTGAATACCTTCATACAACTCAGATGTTAATTGTACAAAGAGAAGAAGAAGAAGAAGAAGAAGTAGAGAAGAGCGAAAATCGATTTTGTGTAGGTGTTGTTCGAAGAACAAGAGAAAAAAAGAGACAACGTCAATGACAATCACGTCTCGTATACATTTCAATTGATAAGATCATGTTAGCTGTTAAACATCACCAATTGTTTATTTTATTATATGTATTTTCCGTTTGTCTGTTCACATCTATTGAAGCTTGTAACATCTGGAAAGCATCGGACTGTCCACAACCGCCAACAGCTGATGATGAAGAGATTGTATGTCATTTGTACTGGAAGATGTTTTCAAATTCGAGCATTTTCTTCTAGTTTAAATACGATTTGTACACTCGGGAACAACTTTTTAAATTTTGTGATCAAGGAAAGAAATACATCGAATGTGTTAACAAGCATTTACAATGTTGTGACTTAAAAAGTGAACATACAGGTGCTTTAGCTGCATTTGAAGTTGGACTGCAACAAGCTGTAAGTACAATCGTTGATGACTATCTCGAAAATGTCCATGATTTTATGTTTGAGGGTTGGCGATTGGGCCGGTACTGTGCTGGTTTGGGTGGCAACACTATTATTCAATATAAATGCAAGACTACAACACTGCCACCGGCTCGAACAACGACAACAACACGCTCGACCACCACAACAATACCAACCTGCGAAGTCGAGGAAGTTTGTACACAATTTTCTAAGAATTCACTTTTGATGCGAATATGATAAGCTTAGGTTAGTCGAAGCTGCAATGAAATTTTAGACAATCGTTTAATATTCGAAAAGAATTGGAGCGTATTGGAAAAGATTCAATGGTGTCAAGCAGTCAGAGACTATATTCAATGTGCGGATAAACATATCACAAATTGTTCGATTATTGAAGTCCGCGACGATGTTGAACAACTTTCAAACTTTATGGACTATCTCAAGAAACAAGCGGATTTTCGTTGCCAGGGTACGCGATACTTCTGTTATTATAAACACACTAATTTGGAACGTTTTTAGGCGGTTTTTGCGGTTGTGAACATGCAATTACTGACGTACGTTGTGAACATGCAGTTACTGATGTGCGTTGCCAACAAAGTGCAAAAACGTTTTATGGCGGAGAAGTATTTGATTCAGCAACAGGAACTTCGACTCTTAACTGGTATCTATTCTTCTCTCTCGCCTTGATATGCTTTTGGCTTTGATAGAGAAAAGCACAATTATAAACGCAATTTCTATCTTTGCAGACGTTCATTGCTAGCTTTTGTCATTATTTCTATCTTTTCACGTATTTTGTTTACTATTATGAAATAATACGAAGAACATCGATGGAGAGTCAAAGCATTCATTCGGATGTTTCCTATACACATAAATATATTTCTAATTGAACTGTACAAAAAAAAATAAAATCAACTGAATATGAAATTATTTTGTTCGCGTAAATAATCTCATGAGAACTGTTAAACGAAGTTGAAGAAGAAGACAAAGAAGAAGGAGAGGAAGAACATAAAAAATATGTACTGTTATAACAATAGAAGAGAACCAGTGAATATGCATGGACAAAATATTATCGCATTGAATAGGAGAAGACATATTTTTCGCTGTCGATCAAGGAAATCCATTTTCCCCCTCCAAAATGCACATATAAAAGCAAGAAAGACCAACGGAAAAAAAAGAACCTCATTCACAAAAAAACATAAACGAATATGTCTCCTGATTATTATTCTTGACCAAAGCCTTCACACTCTTCGATAGCAAAAAGAAGTTTCTCTTTCAAAATTTCATATTTTTTATAAGGTGGAAGGTCTAATCGATTGAAACATGTATGTGATCGAGGTAAGATATTGTCTTTGCCATATTTTTCTATACAGAACTTTTGTGGACCATTCGATCCTAAAATTCGAATTCAATCTTTCATGGAAGAGAAAAGCGAGACATGCAATATTTACCTAGCAATTCAGAAAATCCGCCAATCGGGACACGGCATGTACCCGTGACGAATTGTAATAATCGAGCACGCTGTTCATCACTTATTTCACGTACAAATTGCCAAAACCATTGAATCTGTTTCGCAGTTTCCGTATAACTTTTATAAATTGTGTTTTGTTCCCAGTCGCGAACATCGATCTTGGATATTCCACAAAGGATCAACTCCAATTCTCGTTCATCAAATATTTGAATCCATTGTTGAGGAACGACCTAAAAATGAAGGCAAATTGTCTTTGTCCTAGTAGAGAGAGAAAGAACACTGTTGTTCAGGAAAAGAATTGATTACCTCGTTGAAACCATGTAGAAACGCTCGTGTTTGTTCTTCAACTCCACGTGTAAATCTCCAATTAATCATCAATTCGATATATTCCGCTTTGTTTTCTTCGGCTAGTTTGATGTCATTTCCTCCAGGTTTCAACTCAATATTTTCGATCTTTCCGAGCAAATCGAACGAGGTGTTGAAATATAATTCCAAATTATCGTTGTTATCTAAATTGTTATCTCGTATCCATAGTAAACTTTTATAGAATTCCGGATCGACAGATTCTAAATCATAGATTGTCAATGTTTTCCCAAGCATGCGTTTGTAGAATGCTAAACTAAAACCATTATCGATAAATTTCCCATGATATAATGACATTGCTGTGAAACGACCGATAAATCTAAAACACAAGTGCATGAATAAAAACAAAGTCGGATGTTCTCAGCGATGAGTTCAAATCGTTTTACCGAAAATAATGTAAATGATCTGGATTAATCGATGATGCAGGATTGATTTGGAGATAGTAATTACTTTTATTTGCATATTCGAATAAACAGTACATGGGATTCAATGCTTCGTGTGACAGACGGAAAAACCATTCGCGTGCAACACCACCATAATCTAAACCTTCTTCACCTTTGAAGGAAAGATATAAACGTCGTCGAAGTTCATTCGATTGACATTGCATAATATGAGTAAATGAATCATTGAATAGATGATCTCGACGTATGGTGAGTTTCAGTTGGCCTGGTGTAGCATTAGTCGAACATAGATAACGAAATTGACGGATTTTGTTTGGAAAACTACGTTGATAATTCGGAGTGGCAACATTTGCCTGATGGCTCGACTAGAATAATGATAAAAATACGATGGACGCTTTCAATCAAATTTGACTCTCTTACGATTAGACCTGCTCTTGGATCCCGAAATGTGGTAGATTTCGTATTATGATCGAGAAAATAGACCTGCCCATCTTTCGTATAGCGTATTTCGAATCCGCTAGGCAATGGTATATCGAATATATTACTATCCATTCGTCGTGGATCTTCCCATTGAGTTGTTTTAGATATATGATTAACAAAATATGTTCGACCTTGATTATCATGCATCATTTGCCAACCTTTGGAAATGAAAAACAGAACACAAGCGTGGAAAAGCTTGTTCTCATTGATGAATGATTACCTTCTGGCAAAGTATTTCCAGTTGAATCCGAACTGTTCGTTGCCTGAGCACTATTTGTTTCCGATTGAGGAAGAAATCGATGTTCAAATTGATTAAACACTGAATGACTTCGCGCATATTGATTTTGCCATTGAGCAACATTAGATAAATGAGTCGCTGTTGGCGGCGTCCACGTAGTTGTGCGAGTATTATGATCGACGTAATAAACACGTCCACGCTGATCAACTCGCTCTTCCCATCCAGGTGGAAGCGTTTGTTGTTCGAGTAACCAAGTTGTTCGACGACGATTATGATCAACATAATAGGGACGATTTTGATTATCAAAACGAAGTTCCCAGCCGGGAGGTAGCTACACAAAACAAAATTCAACAAGAGAATGATAAATGACACTTTGATAATCACTTGTTGTTTTAATTGGTCTAAGTTCGCTTCGTTTGACGTCGTTCTTGATTGGACAGTTGCATTTGTTTGAGTATCGGAGTTCGGGAGATCAATCGCTGCTGCTGCTGCTGCTACTGCTTCAGCTCCGGTTCTATTCGTTTGGCTATTGACTGGGCGTCGCCGTGAGCGTGTGTTGGTGTTATTTATTGCTGGTGAAGCCATCTGACGATTTGTATCACTCGAATTCGAATTTTCTGTACTGTTCTCTAACGTTGGATGTGACTGTTGTTGGGTATCCTAGAAACATTATAAAACCAATTTGAATTCAATCTGTCAAAAGTAATTTATTACTTGTTGTGTTCTGCTTTCATTATTTTGCTTTAATAAAGATCCGTAAAATATGAGCTCTACTATTCCAATCGAAGCATTGTTGATGTTATTGGAGCGCAAGGTAGATGTGGATGCAGTTGAATTGTCAAATGGTAATTTAACACGATAGGATGGTGTTGTTTCATGATTAACTTGATCCGATGAATGATATTCATCAATGATCGATTTGATATTGAATTGCAACTGGCCTAGATCATGATTTCCAAAGAGACGTGTCGGAGCGAGTATTTTCAATTTGATTTTCGAATTTGATGTTACGAGTACATCAAATGACTCATTTATTGTGATAATCGGCGACGTCGTACTCGTTTTACCTTTCTTACGTATGATCTCGGTGCGATATGTGTATTTATTATCAACTTCCATAATGACATTGATGTCAACAGGTTTCGTCGATGATGGTAAACGTACTGAACAGATTTTAACACGGAGTTGGCAGAGGGGTTCAGTCGTTCGAGTTTCATCTTTATCTGCTGAAGACGCTGACGTTGTTGATGGTTGAAGCATCACCGGGTTATATTTATTTTATGTAATCATAATAAAAGAAAACAGACACACTAAAAAAGAAATTGAATCAATGAGAATGATAACATTCTCTTCGTTTGTTTATTCTGATTCACTATTTATTTCATTCGCAATTAGCTCGCGACATGTTCTATGAAAGGTACTCTTAAAATCGTTCGATCGATAAAACACTAAGGAAAATGAAGTACATTAGTCACAAGAGAAAAAAAAATAATTGCACATATTTACCTTGCTGGTTAATGGTCAATTAGATAACCAATCAAATGCATCGCTACGATGTGCTGTACCGTAGCTACTACTACGGAATGGTAGCACAAAGAATAAAATGTCTTTATAGATAGTTTCCTACGACTGATTGAGAATGCGTTCTGAATAGAAATTGATAGAGAGTTATAAGACAACAGTATGTAAATAGATAAATCTCACGACGGCTGATCAATTTGGTAAATATCACAGTTTGTATTGTCTACACAATCAGAAAAGAATGGGAAAATGTCAACAAGAATGACGATGATTGTTTACCGATACATGAGATATGAACGTCAATTTATATTTAAGTAGAGTGTTTTGTTTTCAACAATGAGCACATTGGTTAAGATTTGGAAAGGATTTTGACGTTTTTGATTACAAAACACCACCTACTTGTTCGATAATTAGCTGAGCTAATGACTTATTCGTACTAAATATGAAGTCGTCCGGATGTTCACACGGGACATTGTAGTATTTGATATGTACAATGAAATATCATATAAGGTCAAGTACATCGTCGCATCAAGAGTGGCAAAACGTCGATTTCATTTTCTCTCTCTACACGAATTTTAACAACGTTTCTTTTTGTCAACTATGAAAGGAATGCAACGATAAATGTTTTCATTCGATTTCGTGTTTCCGATAAAGAAAAAGTTCGTTGAAGATCAGAGAACCATTGGTTCGATGTTAACTGACTAGTTTCCATAACTTTCGAATCCGAATGATTCATGACATAGATTCTCTTTCCTTTGAATATTTTTAATTTGCCAATATCGAATTCTCGAATGGATAACGATCCACTCACTCCAGTTCAGTGTCACATTAAGCCACAAAAGGAGCGATTCGCCTCTGCGATAAAACTATATCATTAGTAGTCTCCATTTAAAATAAAATTTACCTATTTTTTTTGTTAAATTTACAGATAAGAATGGCGAATAGTCGTAACAATAACCATCATACTACTAGTAAGTAAAACGAGTCTTTCACGTGTTGTCTTATATTAATAAAATCCTACTTTCTTTTTTAACTAGCAACTGGTGATTCTAATGCTATCAATATCGCTCGAATTGTTATTGTTGGTGCTGGTATTTCTGGTTTAACATGTGCTCGTAGACTAACACAATTGTTGAAGAAACAAGCATATCAAATTTTAATTGTCGAAGCACGTGACAGAATCGGTGGTCGAACGTTCAGTATACCAGAGTTGAATCTTGATCTGGGTGCATCATGGATCTTTCCAGATCACACAGCAGTACGTACATTAGCTAATGAATTAGATATCGATATGTTAGAACAGTATGAAAGTGGGCTATCACTTATACAAACAAATAGTAGCAATGTCCAACCCATAAATATGGGAAGTATTCATGGTGGTGTTAAACGATTGAAAGGTGGTACAAACAGTTTATGTACGGCTATGGTTCGAGAATTAACGAGTGGAAAGGAGTCGAACGTCATTATAAGTTTAAATTCGCCAGTAGTGAGTATTGATTGCACAAATGATGGAATTATTACTGTCACCTTACGCGATCAGCATTCTATAATTGCTGATTATGTAATACTAGCTTTACCACCGAGATTACTCTTGTCAACGATTCGTTTAACACCGACATTACCATCAACTGTGATTGAAAAACTTCACAAATGTGTGACATGGATGGCATCAACGTGCAAAGTTATTCTTATCTACGAACATGCATGGTGGCGAATGAGAAATTTCAGTGGATTCGCTGTTTCACGCCATAGTAAAGCTCAAGAATGGCATGATGCGAGCAGCGAAACATGCAATGCCCTATTCGTTTTCTGTCTAGCCGGTACTACTAAACAAGAAGTCATCGATGATACCGTGAGAATGTTCGGTGCTGAAGCGGCTAACCCATCAGCGGTCCACATAGCAGATTGGAGTACTGAAGTATTTACTTCCACATCTACTGCGGACGGTAGAGGTAGCCATCCACATCTAAGTAGTATATGTAGACAAGCGCAATGGAATGGACGATTGTGGTTGAGTAGCAGTGAGGTGAGTGACGCTGACGGTGGTTTTCTCGAAGGAGCTGTGAGACGTGGTATTCAAGTCGCTGATCAACTGGCAATGTTAATAGAAATATAGAATATGATTTTTGAGTCTTCGAAATCCAGAGCAAACATCTGTTGTCAGATTATCTTAGTTAAGAAAGATTGTTATCAAAATTAGTTCATTCTGTGGACATTATATATTTAAGAATAATTAATAAACTAGAAGACTAAAATAGAAATCTCATATCAATTTTTTCTCTTCATCAGTATCGACCGTGTGTTAAGATCAATTTGTTCCATGCTATATCCATTGCACGATAAATAATTGGCAATTTCGATCGGATCTTTCGATCGAAACGAGTTTGTATGTGTCAGTGGAAATGGACATCCATGTAGAGCCGGTATTTGTGCTGGAGATGGTCGAGTTTGTGCCGACATTGATGAGACATGTTCAAAACTAATGTGTATATACAGAGGCTCATCATACTTGGGTAAGTCTCCGGATGATGTTGTTGGCGGTGAATGTACGTGTGGTAACATGTATTTTTCGATAATCGCTTGACGAAGATCGTCATGAAGGATTGTTAATACGCCACAACGATAATACGTAAGAAGTGAAGAGAATATCATCGGATCTTCATCGATGAGAAAGGCATTGTCAGCATCACGCGAATGGAATGTGGAATTTTGTTCATTGCTAATCAATTTAGTCAGAAAACTACTTGGATATCGTTCCAGTGTTTGACGAAATATGCCAAAAACATCACCATTTGTTAGTTTAAATTTAACTATATCTGACATATTCTAATCTAGAAGAAACGGAACTGTCGCTGTACTCCTTGTCAACAATAAAGAGTGAGACTCGTAGACGCTCCAGTAGGATCAATTTCATCCTCACACACTTTATAACAGAACATATTATCTAGAAAAAGTAAACAAAAACAAAAATAACATTTCCTAACAGATGTGTATAAACAACGAAAACGTTAGGGTGGCATACGAAGAGCACCGTCTAAACGAATGTTTTCACCGTTTAAGTACTGATTCTCAATAATATTTTGTGCTAATTGTGCGAAATCATCTGGTAAGCCAAGCTGTGATGGAAACGACACCATCATCGCCAACAATTGTTTACTTTTTTCTGATAATGGCTCGACCATTTTCGTTTGATCGAAAACACCAGGAAGAATAGTACAAACTCGTATGCCAGCACTTGCAAGATCACGTGCTAATGGAAGTGTCATACTTGCTAGTGCACCGCTACCAGCTGAATATGCGACTTGACCTAGAGAACAAAGAGAAAAAGTTCTTTACAAACACAATCTCAAATACTCATACCAATCTGTCCTTCGTAGGCAGCGATACTCGATGTATTCACAATCACACCACGTTGTCCACGTGCATCTGGTTGATTATCAGCCATCAGATGACATGCCCTTCTCAGCACATTAAATGTGCCCACGACGTTGACGTTCAACACTCGGTTGAATTCTTCCATAGAGTGCATACTTCGTTTCTAACAAGACAGTAAAATGCAGATCATCAATGATAAAATGAAAACTATACATTGATATTATAACAACGGAATGCGACACCAATGCCCGCACATTGAACAAGACAATTGAGCTTAGAGCTTTTTTGTTGTATTCTCTTGAACATATCTTCAACTTGATCATCATGAGTAACATCAGTAGGATGATATGTAACTAATGATGGATCCATGGATTTAGCGATTTCTTCACCTTTCGATGACGGTAGATCACAAAAATGTACATGACTAACGCCTTGTTTAAGAAATCGATTGAGACAAGCTAAACCAAGACCAGATGCACCACCGGTAATCAGAGTTACTAGACCATTCATCTTGTGCTAAATGAGAGAATAAAATTCTCCTAAGTAAAAACTGACTGATCTGTTCTAATCTATTCATTTGCTAACGTTCTAAATCAATCAAGAAACAGACGAGATGTATCAGCCAATAGCGACGCAAGTTGGCAGAGGCTCAATCAGCGCACTGATTGGTTGCTTCAGTTTTGTTTTGTGTTGTACATGCACTAAGTTGAAATTTCTTTCCCTCTGATTAATTCAGAAATTTTCTTCTTCTGATATGGCAAGTAAACCGGAGGAAGAATCAACAGCATCAAGTTCAACTAGCACAAGTGATCAATCATCAAAATGGCAAGCATATTGGGATGAGAATTACAAACGTTATTACTGGTCAGATGGAACTGAATCGGTAAGTCACATCAAATACCTGACTAATCTGCTTTTCAACGTGATTATGTGTATTTAGGTATGGGAAACACCTAAGGGTTGTATAGAACCACCACCACCAACATCTGATACATCAAACACCGATGAACAACAGTACTCTACTGGTGAATACGCTCTCGCAATGAGTTACGCAAATAGTCAAACTGATCTTCGCTATCAACCATATGTAATTCCTCCCACTATTCCCAGTACGATCAGTACGGGTAAACGACTTGTTGGACAAGATTCGCGTGATCTTCGCCAATTGTATCATTATTTCGATTATAATGCATGGAATGAAGAATTGAATCGTACAAATGGAAATCAAAAGAAAAAAGTCAAACTAACGAAGAAAGAGCTTGATGCGATAAAAGCACGTCGGGCAGCGATTAAAAGAAAACATCGTGACAAATGGTTACTCGAAGACTAAACATTGTCTCTCGTGTTCGAATGTCCAATGATTATTGTCACCTGTCTCGTCGTTTTCTTTTTGTTTTTACTTCCAAAACAAAATACATAAAAAAAAACGTTTTTTTTTTGTTCTGAAAATTAATTTGTATAAACTAGTAAATCACTCACTTTGATCGATCAAGTATCTAGGAATTATTTATCATTTGATATTCATGATTATCCTCACCCAGGGTTCATATAAACTATTGTGCACAACGCGAGCAGACTATGTGACTGGAATTCGCGTAGAAACGTTCTCTTCAAAGTACTATTGTCTATTCGTTTTTCCTTCATCATTATTATTCAAATTTTCCGATTATCATATTTATTTATAAGAAAGAAAACAAAAAAAGTCTGCTGTCACAATTTACACAATAGATTAGTCAATTATAAGAGACATGTCTGAAGATATCGTCCAACAAATGCGACTTATCCAAGAGGTCGTTTGCGAATTGAACATACATTTATCTGACAACAAACCGTAAGTAGAAAGTAGTATTGCTCAGTATCATCCAATGGAACTTTTCTAGTGAAATAACTGATCAGTATGGTTATTTGAAATTTGATAATAGTGAATCGAGCTCGATCACTCGACTTTCTCAGTATATTCGTTTATCTCTCGGAACGAATGCCAAGACAATAGTTGAATTTATGCAACGTGCTTGGCGTTTACCGACACCTGACCTGATTATATCAGTCACTGGAGGTGGCAAACAATGTAACATGTCCACACACTTGAGAAAAACATTCCAACGTGGATTGGTTGCCGCTGCTGCCACAACAAGTAAAATAAAACGAATAGTTCTTCCAAAAGGATATATTCATCATAGATGCGTGGTTAATCACAGCTGGAACAAATGCCGGCGTCATTCGAGAAGTCGGCAAAGCTTTACACAATTATCGGTATAAAAATCGTAAACACGCACTTGATGTTCCGTGTATTGGTATTGGAAGTTNTTGAGAAAAACATTCCAACGTGGATTAGTTGCCGCTGCTGCCACAACAAGTAAAATAAAATGAATAGTTCTTCCAAAAGGATATATTCATCATAGATGCATGGTTAATCACAGCTGGAACAAATGCCGGCGTCATTCGAGAAGTCGGCAAAGCTTTACACAATTATCGGTATAAAAATCGTAAACACGCACTTGATGTTCCGTGTATTGGTATTGGAAGTTGGAAGCATACAGCTGGAACTGAACAGTTGAATGGAATATCAAAGATTGTCCTTGACGTGGCATTAGAGAAAGAGAATCGTTCGATGAGTGCATCTCGTCAAAATACGATTGAAGCTATTCATATGGTAAGAGTGATGGAAGAGTTATTTTTCTAAAACAAAGGCATTGTTTTTGCCTGACGAATAGAACATTGCTGATGAGTACATCGTTCGTTCGTATCATTCGAAACAATCGGAGAAAGGTCGATGGAATTTAGAACCAAATCATACTCATTTCCTATTGTTCGACGGCGGATCATGTACAGCTGAAGAAGTTCTTTTGCAACGAACGGAAATCGAACAACACTTAAGAAAAATAAATACGACATTGATCACAACGGATATTTTAACTCCGATCGTTATGATTCTTGTTGAAGGTGGTGTATTATCTATTCGAGCTGTTTGTCAAGCGCTAGAAACCAACGTACCACTGGTTGTCGTGAAAGTAAATCGAATATTTAAGCGTAAATTTTTTCGAATTAGAGTGTGATTACAGGAATCCGGTCGAGCAGCTGATCTTGTGGCTGATTTATACGCGCACTTTAATCAAATTGAAATCGAACGTACCGATAGTGAACGACGTTTCCTAAACAAGGAACGTAATTCAGATGCGTCTCATAAAGAAATTCGACTGAATGCAATGTAAATATGACAATGAAGTTGGCCTGTTTTTGAAAATGATGTTCTTCTGTAGATTTCAGAAACATCGAGCGGAAAATGGCTCGTGGCTTGATCAAGTCAAAGATCGCTTGTGTCGTATAATGCAACAACGACGGCAATTAATCACAATTTTCAAGTTTGATAGCGAACGTCATCATGGAAATTTAGAGGATGCAATCCTTGAAGCACTTTT